TATATATATATATATATATATATATATATCCATTTTGTATTCAGCCTGATCTAATTTTCATATCATAAACAAGTACAATAGAAAGATGGTTTAAAAACTAAGTTGTGGAGATGGTACTACTTTGTTTTTGAACTTACAAATTGAATAGTGAAGAAGAAAATGTAGATACAAATTTAATACTCGAAATTAAAACTAAAATTGAATATGGAGATCAATCTGTTATTCGATTAACCACTTGTTTCTGAGTTATACCAATTTTAGGGAATTCCACCACTCATCAGTAATCCTACGAAGGCAAATCAAACGATTAAGCTTAGGCTTCTTACAGTGGGTAGAGTTTTTATTATGTGTACAGTTTAGAGTTACCTAACTTGTAACTTAAAAATAGTTGTCATGTCCAGCATGACCACCACAGTGCCCACATTGGGTGCAAACCTGAATTGCATTTTGGTGGTCACAGAAAATAAAATATAGTTCTGGGAAAAATGCCGAGTGCAATATTGTAATTTTATATTCGTAACCTCTTTTGTTTGCTAATGTGTTCCTTCAACCTGAGATGGACTGTTACTGATCCACGGTTTACTTACGCATGTTCTTGACTTCTGAGTCGATCCTTCCTGAAAAAGTCGTAGTGATGCTCATAAGATACGTTTATAGCTAAGGTTTTTATTATATCTCTTCTGTTGGTTTCAAAATATTTTGTTTCTTTAATAAAGATGGAAGAAGTGAGATTTGTGAATAATTTATTTGTTGTTTTTATTATTTATTCATTGATGCTTCTGTGAAAAGAAATGTTGATAAAATATTTGATTTAAAAAAGTTTTCTAGAGTTATTAAATGCCGTAAAGTATGGCGTTTAGAAATAAAAATGAGTGAGGAAGAGCTTCCTTTTACGAAAAGTTCATCCTAGATCTCCAGTGATAAGTGTTCTCTTGAACTGTTTGTTGGTGTGGCAGTAAATAATAGAAAACTTAATGTAGAACATTAAGTAATAGCTACTTTCTCATTTTCTGTTTCTCTCCGTCATAGTTTTCCAGACTCCATAAAACTTTGTCTGCTAAACCATTACTTACGGTAACGTATTCCACTGTCTTCTTACAATGAAATAGTGGGGGTTTTTTGCAACTTTTGTTTTCGAAGACATCAAGATTTTTAATATTTAACATGTAGTTCTGCTTGAAGTGTAGATTTTACAAATTACGCTTAATTTCAATCTTACAGGCTTTGTTAACTTAATACTTGAAGCTGAAAATCATCTTAATTATTCTTGTTTTCTTAATAAAAGATGGAATTGTTATAATGAACATAATTTTTAATCTACCGTTATCCAATATTAAAAGATACTAAGCATATAATTTTGCTTTGATTAAAAGTCTGATTTTCTTATTGATTGAAAGAACGAAACATGTAATATCATTGCACGATGTGTTAGCTTACTTTTAATGCTCTTGTTTTGTAATTTCTTATTGTTACAAAACATTTTTACAGCTCATCAAATATGGTATCATTAGTACGTCTAAGTTAATCACTGATCTACTCGACTGGGACACTCTCTACATCAGTGGTCGTCTACATAAACCAGTAAGTTATATCACAATTTATCAAGTTTATTTTTCAAAACATCGGTCACATATCCTTCTGATACTAACACCTTGCATTTAGGTGGTATCTGTCTATAAGGAACTGCAGTTTCAAATTTCATTAGACCTAAGATTCGGTTAGGTGAACCAGCGCCCTTCTTATGTTGACTGTATCAAAAGTTTGACTAGAATGTTAATCAATTTCTTCCTAAGCTAGTCATACTTTAATTATAAATCTTTTTAACATGGTGTGATAATTCTTTAATTTTTGGGTCTACCAGTTCTTCATTAACCAATTAATTACCTACTTCAATAAAACTGGTCACAAAATCTGATATCTTATAAATGTGTGACAAACATTGTTCAAACATACTCCTGGTCCTGATGCCGTTTCTCTGCTGATATATCATAAATGTGTGACAAACATTGTTCAAACATACTCCTAGTACTGGTGCAGTTTCTCTGCTGATATATCATAAATGTGTGACAAACATTGTTCAAACATACTCCTGGTACTGGTGCCGTTTCTCTGCTGATATATCATAAATGTGTGACAAACATTCAAACATACTCCTGGTACTGGTGCCGTTTCTCTGCTGATATATCATAAATGTGTGACAAACATTGTTCAAACATACTCCTGGTACTGGTGCCGTTTCTCTGTTAATATATCATAAAGTTGTGACAAACATTCAAACATACTCCTGGTACTGATGCCATTTCTCTGCTGATATATCATAAATGTGTGACAAACATTCAAACATACTCCTGGTACTGATGCCGTTTCTCTGCTGATATCTCATAAATGTGTGACAAACATTCAAACATACTCCTGGTACTGTGCCATTTCTCTGCTGATATATCATAAATGTGTGACAAACATTCAAACATACTGCTGGTACTGGTGCCGTTTCTCTGCTAATATCTCATGATTCTGTAACAATCGTTGTTTGAACATACTCCTGTTGCTGTTTCTCTGCTGATATCATGAGTCTGTAACAATCACTATTTGAACATACTCCTGTTGCTGTTCTTCTGCTGATATTTTATGATTCTGTTACAATCACTATTTGAACATACTCCTGTTGTTGTTCTTCTGCTGATATTTTATGATTCTATAACAACTGTAAGGAAAAAAAAGCTTTCATTCTCTTCAAATAAAAATTTTCCATTCATTGTGCAGCTACTCTAGTCAGGAAACAGTTTTTTAAAAGTGAAATTTTCTTGATTTCTTAGGCATGGTTTCAGACTGTGTAAAGATGTTTGGAGTGTTTGAAGATATACAGTGATAATGCTTATTTTAGTGTGAAAATAATGCACACTGAACATTTTAACTAGCAGGTACTATAAAATAGTACAGAGAAATCATTTACTTACATTACAGCTTTCCAAATTGGCTATTCGATTAAATGAAGTTAATTTGATGAAGTGTCAATAAACCTTACGTTAGATTATATACTTTCTTCGTATTAAAGTTTACGTTTTGCAAATATTCACATAAAAGTTTATATATATATTTTTTCTTAGTAATGTAGACAGTTTTGTTTATTTCATCTTTGTTGGGGATCCATATAAGTATTTTATTCTTTAAGTGGGAAAATCGTAAGAAACAAGTTCAGACTTTCGGTTGATGACATCATACACTTTCCAGGTTAACATTCTTCATCAGACACAAGATACTGGTTTAGAACAAGCATTGAAAGTTAATCTTCAGAGTGCCATCCATGCATCTTTATTATCTCTTCCAGAAACTTTCACAGAAGAAGATCTGTACCTTCAAATTGCTAGTCTTTCGTACACAGGTTGGATGTCTTATTTTCTTTTTGAATAAATGTTATTATTTTATATCACGTAAGTTGAAAAATATCTCTTAAAGAATATTCTAGAAAGTACAAGTATCACTTATTAAGTAGGTTTTGTTACGTGTCACACTCTTACTGGATGTATACATTTGTAATCTGTTTCTTCTCTTAAATTCTTTTGCAGTACAAAATCTTGACACCCTGATTTGTAGCTTTGGAGGTTAAAACACTGATATGTGGATTTTTTAACTGTTTCTCTTCCATGTAGGTGATTTTCGAATGCTTCTTGGAGAAGACAAGAATAAGATCAACAACATTGTAAAACCACAGCTGGACAGATTCCGCAATCTTTATACTGATTACCTCAATAGGACACCTCAGTTGGAGTGGAACTGTAAAACAGCAAAATACGAGGTATGAGCGTTTGTCAGTTTATAGGACACATCTTTCGAGGTGAAACTATAAAACAGCACAATACTAGGTATGTAGAGGGGAAATGTTTGTCGGTTGTCATAGTGATTACTTCTGCTTCCTTAATAGCTTTACTCAATTTTTATTGCCTTCTGTATGGTCAATTTTCACTCGCTACTAGCCTTCCACGTGACATTATGTCTTTACATGTAGCATAGCTACATTTTAGCATGCAAATAAGCGTGCGACAAACTTTCAACAATAGGAGTGTAACACCCTCCTAGGGCAGCTGACTTCCTGTATACTGTAGAGCACAATGATAATTATTTGATCCGGCAATCGTGTGTATGGTTCAGGTAATAGGGAATTTGTAATGGATGTAACTACAAAGACAAAATTTCATAAGTGTCAGTAACTTTCACTTTGTCTGGTGTGAAACAACACAAATTTGTTCATGCTAGTCTGACAAATACATTAACATTGGGTTTTTCTTTGTCTGTTGGAAGAGGTGATGTCTTTTTGCACTGCAGGTGGTGGAGTCGTTCACGTGGCCTGAACCTTCTTTCATCCCTGATATACCTCTGCGAATGTTTCTCGTTCATACAGGAAGGGATTTTGTCAGTTGTTCCCACCTTTCTTTGTCTAATCTTTTACCCATTTTGTCTTGACTCTACCTGAGCCTGTTTTTCGTGATTTAGTGCCTGGATTTCTCAGGTGTGTTTTTTACTTCTTATCCAAATATACGAGTCAATATGCAATTATTTTAATTCTACTTTGGGGCATACATCTCTTGTCTTCCTATCTTTGTTACCTCGTACGACTAGACATGTCTTCGTGCTGTATTGCTTTTCTTTTACTCCTAAATTCTGGAGCCTTTTCTTCAGACTTGGGGGTCAGATCCTTTGTCCCTTATTTGTCTTTCTTAGGCTTAGGTTTTTTTACCTTTGTCTTTCACACTACCCTTTTTCTTTTTTTTTTCATTCTTTAACTTTCTTTCGGTGATAATCCACCACTCTTCTGTTGGTTTTTCAGTGGATGTTAGTCTATTTATCCCTCTTACAGTGGCATGTTTGGTTGATCTGTTGCTAGAGTTGGTTGGGGCTTGTAACTATTGTTCCTTAGTTGCTTTGCCTACCATTTATCTTCTATGCTTTCATCTAGCTACTTTCATCTGCCTGTGTGATTTTACTGGTGTGCTTGTTTCTCTGGTGTCATATCTTAGGGCTGCATGCCAATGTCATTCCTTATCCTCAATGGTTTACCTTCCCTCCTGTCCTTTCTTCCCCCTCTCTGTTACCACTTCCCATTTCTCTGTTGTCATCTGTCCTTCCGTTGCTCGTAGACTTTGGTGCTGTCAGTCATACTGGTGACTGTTATCTAGGCTCAACGTCAATAAGGCTTGTTTTGTTTGGTTTATGGACTTTTGCCCTCCATTTGCATCCAATTGTTGGGTATTGGAAGTTCTGTCAGAGATCCTTAACCTTTATTTTTTCCTCTCATCCTCCATGTTTTCCTGTTTCCATTCTTTTACATTCTTCAAAAGATCTTGTTTCTTGCCAACATTGGTCCATGACAGTGTTGGTCCTAATGGCTAAAGTCACTATTGGATGGGTTTCGTATTCTTGTCCACGATCTTGTTCTAATCTTTTTCCGGTTCCCAGAGAACCTGTAGATAGGTGTCTATCTTACATCTTTCAGCTGGTTTCTCTTCCTTCCTCGATTTTCCATGGAGACTTTCTCAGCCTATGGTGGTTTTTTTGCTCCACATCTTAGGATGAACATTTTGGATGCTTATTTTCTCATTTGGCTCCATCCCAATAAGCCTCCTACAGCCATCCTCTTCTCCTCCTTCAGGAAGTGGTGCATCTGAGTTGGGTGGTCAACTTGGAGGAATCACATCTCATACCAATTACGTTTCCCATTCATTTGGGTGTTTTTCATTCACATCTCTACTGGGCCCAATATTTTTCTCTTCTTTTGAGAAATGTGAAGCTATTAATTTCGCATGCCATATTCTTTCCTTCCTTCATTGTGTTGGAGGTTTTTTTCTCTTATGGGGACTTGGGATTCCATGGAACCTGTATCTCTCTTTAGTAGTGCTCATTTACAACAATGCCTACAATGGACGCTGCACAATCGCTGGACCCTTGCTTGGGATCCTTTGTCTTCAACTGTTCTCCTTCCTTCCTCAAAGTCTTCATCTGGTGACTTGACAAAACTACGTGTATAGTGGGTGTTCCTCTCCTCCAGGTTTCTTTCTGTTTCCAGTTGCCTATTTGATGAGATGGGAGGTGCATGTTTCAACTCTCATGTGTATTTGGGTTGGCAGTACCATGACGTATCGTCACCTAATATCCATCTCTTAGAACTCTGGGCGGTATGTCTAATATCTAGTGGTGATACTTATGGTCACCTCTGCAGTTGTCTCCTATATCATTCACCCAGAACACTCCATCTCAATCTCTCTGTTTCCATACTATCAACCTCCTTTTCTGGGCCCATTCTTTACAAGCATCTCATTGCTTGTTCTATTCCTTGTGCCCCGAATCTTGTTGCGGATCATCTCAAGGCCCACCAAGATACTACCTATGGTTTAGTCCTTCAATCCTCTGGTGTTCAAGTGGCTGTGCTTTTATCTGGATGCTACTCTTCTCATCACCCTACTTCCCCCTTTTCTGGTCCCCTGTTCCTCTTCCATGCCTACCCTCCCACTCATTATCTCCCTTGTGTGTTTTACCTCATTCAGGATACTCCATATTCAGTCCTCTTGATACCACTGGCTGACTCAGCCATGCTTTCTTCTGTTGCACCTTTTCCTGTCATCTCTTCCTCTACCTCTGTCACTCTCTCTACTCCTTCAACCTCACTCCTCCCTCTCCCATCCAGCAGTGTCATCACTGCCAGATATTCCAGACTCTCTTTATGTGTAGCCTTCTTTCTTTCTTGTTCAGTTTGTTCTTCCTCCCTCCTTGTCTATTCACGAATAGGGTGCACATTCAGTAGTTGGTCTCTGCATCATGCTTTCTCACCTTCCCTTCCTTCTTTCACCATCTTGTCATTGGTTCTATTAATGGGGCTTTATCACTTTCAACCATGGTTACCAGGCAGCTCTACTTCCTACTTTAGGGTTTTTATTATTATCGTCCTCTCCTCTTTTTCTGTGCTCTTTCATTCTTTTTGCCACTTTAATCATCCTCGTTTTGCAGTCCTTCCTGATTGGGAGCTGAATTCTGTTCTCCACAACCTTCCCCTTCCTCTCCTTGAACCTCCAGTCTCTTGTTCCTTTTACCATCTTTTCCGTAGGTCCTTTTTCTTACTTGTTGCCTGTAGCCGTAGGAGATATGCCATTGCTGCTTCCCATTTGTTTTTTGTTCCTTACATTTCTCACTCTTGTTCTCTTTCTGTTCCAAAACATTTTCTCTGACTCATCCATGAGGTTCATTATAACTTGGCCCACTCTACTCATTTTCATTGTTCGTGCTCCCATATATATTTAATCTGTGGAATTCCTCATCACTCCAAGATATTTATCCTTTTATTCTCAAGGGATGGCTACAGTTACTCATCAATTTAACTTGTACTTCATTGCATGTAGATTCACATTGACTCTTCCAAGTCTTCTCTCACTAAATCCAATACCTTGCTCTCTTTCTGTCATCAGATGGAGGAGTTCATGTGGACTACTTACACCACATACTTTTGTCACACATTATCCTCGTCTTCTGCCTGTTTCTTCTTCTTTGGGACATCGACTTCCGTTGCCATTCTACGTATTACTGACTCTTAATGGGTACGTTCTATATTTATATAGTTTACCTTTACAGTGGCCTATTTCTACATCTCTGAATCCTACAAAGTGGCAAGTGGTGCCTGTCTGGGTATACTTAACTTTTAATCTGCACCATGTAACTGTTTTATAGGTCATTAAAACTCACTGATCAGATGGAGTGTTCCACATGACTACTTGAGGGTTTCTCATGGTATATTGCTTCATAGATAAGATCTGTTTCAGACTTTACCAACTCATGGACTATCATGAGTAAAGCAGTGTCAGGATTGCTGCCTCCAGTCCTAGTTGAATAAACCGGGACTGGCCTCCTTTTCCAAGTAGGATTTTCATGGTCACACAGTGCACAGTCTTAAGGTATTACATTTCTCCAGACTTCGCCCCGTGTTGTTCCCTCCCCCTCTTCTAACAGAATACAGAAGTTCTTACTATTTACCAGTTCCTAGCCATTGGGGTGGTGGACCATGGAGCCATCCTCCTGTGTGGGACTATTTCCACTCAGTCAAGATTAAGATGGTGCTGTGTATTCCTATCGTGGTTTTGGATTGGAGTTGATCCACCGAGCATGGTCTGATACACCCTAGCCACTCTACACCATCTGGCACATCCACTTCCAAAATTTGACATGCATCCTTTCTGTCTGGCTTGGTGACTTTGGACAAAAAGTACACCCTGGAGCAGATGAGGTGTGGTGTCCTACATGTGTGACCCTATGTTTTAGGGTATTACACTAAATGTATAGTGTGTAAATATAACATACTTTATTGACTGTAGTTACATATAGTGTATATAACAACATACTTTATTGACTGTAGCTGCATGTGGAGTGTATATAAAAACATACTTTATTGACTGTAGTTACATGTAGAGAGTATATAAAACATACTTTATTGACTGTAGTTACATGTAGAGAGTATATAAAAACATACTTTATTGACTAGTTGCATGTGGAGTGTATATATAAA